ATTGAATATTTTAGTGAGGTTATCGCAGTCGGAAATTGAGATTGCTGTCTAGAAAAAGCCCTAAAATTTTATACTGTCAAACCATTTCTATTTCAACACCGGATATTCAAATATCAATGTCTACCGTGTTAATATTTTGCGCAGTATGAAAAGCTACTGCTTTCGTTTTGGAGACATTCAAAAATAATGAATTTTTACTGAACCAATTTTGCAAGTTATAAAGATCAGAATTTATATTTTGTTTTCATTCAGGCAAATCTTTTGCTTCAAATAGGAGGGAAGAATCATCAGCATACAAACGAGTGAGTGACTTTTGCAAAACAGATGGCAACTCATTGAAATAGAGAATAAAAAGGATTGGCCCCAATTCTGATCCTTGGGGGACACCTATGTCATTATTCAACTGATCGGAAAAGGAAGTTTCGTTATAATTCTCATTCGAATATTGTATCTTGACAGCCTAGCTAGGTGCGATTTGGAAGATATGTGTAGAAATAGCAAACTTATTAGTTTACCCTGATAAGTTACTGCGTAAATTCAAAATATTTTTCCACAAAGAGAAAAATGTTCTATTTATCGGTAACTTGTCGTATTCAATAATTTTGCCCATTTAATACTTAACGTTTCGGAGGCCAAAATCTGCCTCTGTCTTCAGAAAAGGCCAAAACTCAAGTTTATACGCAGTTCTTCCTTTGCTGATTATTTGACATATGTCGAAGAAATTGAATTTTTTTTAAATATGAGGTAGGTTTTACAGAATTTAAAATCGCGTAACACAAATGACCTAAACCTCCTTTATAGTTGTTTCTTACAATAGGTAAGAGATACCGCAGATATCGCAGTGTCACAGGAGTAGAGGCAAATTTAATGCCCACTTTAATAAATACTTTTCAAAAGCATACTGACGAGATGGATAATGAAAAATAGAACTAATAAAAAAAATCATATTTTCTGGCGGAGACATAACTATTGAAAATTACATATGCACGTTCAATGATTTATTCAATTGATTTTAATAGCAGTAATGTATTACGAGAAAATTAGATAGGTAAATAATTCGATATGATAAGCAGTTATTTATTTCTCATAGAAATTAATTATTGAAATTAATCACATATCATTATGGCAGTTAAATACGTATTCAATGCGTACAGTACAGAATTTGTATCATTAAAATATCATAATCAACGTTTTGCTTTTTAAAAAAAATCGAGGGAAATTGGATCCACATTCATACTTACCTTTCAATTCAGTGAATCATAAGACAAACAATTATATATTTCTGAAATTGAAAATGATCTATTTGATGTTTTCATTTTATCTTCATCAGTTATTGTTACTCTTATTGCTTTCACCAATGTTGAATTTATGTGTGGGTTCTTGATAAATAATTGGTATGTTTATTAAAAATTCAAAAACTTCATTCAATAACTCGAATTATTTACTGAAGTTATGAAGTTATTGAACACTATACCAAACACTGTAATTATCGTACTTTTATTTCCTCAGTTCACTGTCGCTCGTAACCTTGTCTCTTGATCACACTTCGAACTAATTGTTGAAATGAAGCTCCTAAAATTATGAGCAACAGCTCATTGGATTCAGAATGACATGTAGAAAAATGGGTTACGATGTTTTTACAGTACACCAGAAATTTAATTTGCATTGTCAAATCAAGATGAAATAAATAATAGTTTAAAAAACTAAAAACACGTTTTAATATCAACACACTAATAATAATAATAATGAGCTTATCTTGCATTTGCTCAGATGCCTTGCGGTACCCGACAAACTAGTGAGATGCATTGAACAACTGATACCACTTTGGCGAACTCACTTCACCATAACATCTGGTCAATCAAGAGTCCAAACAGGGTGGGTCACTTTCAGAAGGGGTGTATTTCAGGGTGATTCCCTCAGTTCCCTTCTCTTCTGTATCTCACTATTACCATTATCTGTTGCGCTCAGAAATACTCGATGGTATAACTGTGGCACTCCCGGAAAGCGGAGGTACAAGGTCACCCATTTGTTTTAAATGTATGATCTTAAACTTTATGCCTCTGGAGACAAGGATCTCCATCAGTCCTTGAGGGTTGTGGAAGAGTACACGCATGCTATTGGTATGAAATTCGGGATAGACAAATGTGCAATGGTCCATCTCAAAAGAGGACGATGCGGGGACTACGGAGAGGATGTGCAGCTCGTAGATGGAAGCATCCTACACCATCTGGATGCCGGAGAGACGTATACTTACCTCGGG